GGTGTTGCCACAGAAATCGATTCTGATTCAGTGATTTGAGAAGCCAGGCTAACTTCTTCCACTTGGTTTTTTTCACTTTTCAGAGGCAAAAGAGCCCTATCTATCTCCTTATTCAAACCATCTGGGTCCTTGGAATCACTACTGTCAGCATTTTGGTCCTCACACAAATTGGGCTTTTGTGCTTTGTCTCCCAGTAAGTCAGGGATTTGAACTGGAGCAGCACCTTCCTCAGACTCTTTCTTTTGGGTAACTGGGTGTGTTGGAAAATTATTCCTATCTGAACATGTTTCTAGGACCCTGACCTCACCTGTTGGGCTTTGGTCTTCTATTGCCACTCCGGAAAGAAGGTGTCCTTTTGGGAGCTCAGTGATTTTTTCTACTGAATGCTTAGACGCACCACTGAGCACTGACTCAAATTCTCCTGTCACATGCCCTCCCTCTATCCCTGCTTCAGTTTTCCTGGGATCAGCAAGCTCACCTTTATTCTTAGGACGGCTACCTCCCTGACTGTTAGCTGTTTCTGTGGCTGCTGTAGAAGTTAGGGTAACTCTTCCTCCCACGTTTGTAGAGGGCGTAACAGCCGAGGGGGCCTTGGGTCTTTCTTGATCTGGGACTCCATCTTTGCTGCAGTTATCCACCACTAATGATGTGGATATCTGGGCCGTGGTCTCTTGCCCAGTTTCTGCCAAGGTGTTTGGAAAAGAAACACCCTCCTTTACTACTTGAGAAATAGAAGTGGGCGGTCCTTCACAGGCTGCTGACTCTCGAGCCTCTGGAGGGGCTGACGTACTCATTAACTCTGGTGGTGTTCTGGGGCAGGTGACTGTAATATTTCTATTTTCGTCCACATAGCCCATTCCATCAATTGTGTGGTCCCCTGTGGTTTCCATGGGAACATGTATTTTTGTTGCATCTATCTTATTCTCCAGAAGATGCTTCTCGGGAAAACTATTTTTAACCTTTTTACTTTTTCCATCATTGCTCCTTTTATTTGGTTTGTCAGCCACTGCAGTGTGTCCCTTGGCTACATCTGTCTTATTCTCCTCAGACAGTACTGAAGGAACAAATCCTGCCCCCTGGATTTGGTCTTGGCAGCTCACATCTGTCACCTTGGTAGCTGGTTCAATAACAGCAGAGTCCCTGACTGTGTTTGTTTTGTTCTCACCAAGAGCCCCAAGCTCAAAAGAATTAACCTCAACGTTTCTCCCCTTTCGGTCACCTACTTCCACTGTGGGAACAGCTAGTGCAGGTGAGAACAGAGGATCATGGGTTAAGGAGAAAGGAGGTCCTACATCCTTGTTTTGATGGGGAGTGCTACGAGCATCTCCATCTTTCCCTATGAAAGGTGGGCTGGGGATTTCTTCCTTGCTCTCCATTCGAGCAGGCTGCGTGGGATAATTATTTTTGAACTTTTTGGTTTTACCCTCACTACTCCTTTTTTTAGGCTTTTCAGAAATCCAGGGAGCTGCCTCACCATCCATCCAAGGACACTTTCCTTCCTTGCTCTGGTTACCGACACCCATATCTACGGCTGTGGCTCCTCGTTCTGCTCTGGCACTGGAAGTCTGAGTCACGCCTGACCCATTTCCTAAATGAACTAATGTGTGCAAGGTGCTTGCCCCTCCAGGGTCAGCTGTCTCCACAGGCTTCTCCGCCACCACTGCCTCGGGGAGATCCGCTGTGGTCCCTGGTCGCTGTGAAGAACCCAGCTCCTCACCTTTTTGCCCAGCAGTCATTCTTTCAGTTTTAGGGGTCGACTCGCTTGGCGCAAGAACAGCTGGGCCATCCTTCCAGCTGTCCAGAAAAAACGGTGGCTCAGATCTTGCTCTGCCCTTCCCAGAACTAGCTCTCACCTTCCCAGAACCTGCCCTACCCTTCCTGCTTCTGCCGTCCCCTGCCATTCTCTGAGACAGCTCATTCCCTAGACCGGGCACCTGAACTAACACCTCATCCTGCGGCTGCTTGGAAGCCAAGGTGCTCATCTCTGGTCTTTGCTTGGGAAAGGCTTCCTTTGTTAGTTCTTTAATCTCTTCAGCTCCTCCCGAAAACCCTTTCTGTCTGTCTGTCTGCAATTCAGTCACCTTACTTTCATCATTCCCTTCTTTTAGACTACTTCCTAATGAGGTACCAGCCGGCAAAGTGGGCACCGGATTAGGCAGTACTTTTCCTGCTATGGGTTTGGAACCCCCACCCATAGCCTCTTGGTCCAAGACAGGAGAGCAACTCTCTTTGGGTCTGATCATCAAAGGAATTTCTACTCTTTGTGCAGAACCTTCTGTCAAGGGTCCTTTCAGGTCGGGTGAGCCTACTGTCTGGCTTTTATCCACAGGGGTCTTCGGGTGGGGTGCAGGCTGTGGTTTGCATTCATCTTGCTGCAGTGATTTCTGGTCCAGGCCCAGTGGTACTGACTTGTTACCTTTGACCTCCGCTTCTATTCTTTGCTTGGGCGGAGAATGTCCTGCAGTTCTGGGGGGTTCTTCTAAAGGACAGAAAGGAACACTGAGACTTTCTGAGATGAAGTTCTCAGCTACCAGTTTGGCAGCCGTGGACTCCATTTCACACTCCTTTTTTAAGGTTTCTCTGGATGCTGGTCCACCTTCCATGCCCATAGTGGTAGATAAGCTGGGGAGAATGCTTGATTGCTGCGGGTCAGCTGCAAAGGGATGACCTTTATGGTCATCTATAGTGTCATCGTCCCAAGGTCCCCCAGCCCGGGGTTGAGAATATCTCTTTTGTTTTGGTTTCTTCTTTTTTTTCTTCATCATCATCGGTGGGCTTTCTATATCCCAGGCCTCCCTGCCAAGATCTCTCTTGGGTTCAAGGAAACCAACATGAACCGTTTTCCTCTGGCTCCCAGGCTCACCACAGGGAGATGAACCAGAGACCCAACCCAGCTCAGACAGAGAGCAGAGTCCCAGCCCAGGATCAAGAGTCTTCCGTGGAGAAGAGACTCCCAGCAGCTCAGGAGGGACCCTGGCAGGCCTGGGCCGAGTTGACCTGCGGTCACTGGGTCTGCATACTTGTTTGCCTTGTGTGGGAGGGGTACCTGCAATACATGAAGTTGGCCAAAATTCCAAACAGAAAACTCCTTGTTATTGTTTCTTTAAAAAAAAAAAAAAAGTCCATTTACTGATTCAATAAGTCTATTTTCACCAACCCACATACTAATTTATTTAGGAAAACAGTTTTTTCCAAAACATTTCTCACCCTCAGCTGAGATTAGCAAATACTCAACGAAGATCATCATCTCAGGCAAAGAAAAAAAAATTCAAAGATCTTCTAACCTTCTATAATAAGTACTGCCTATAAATCTCATCAGATACTTATTTATATTTGTCATTATTTTTAATAGGTACATAATTCCCAATTCTGCAACAAGATGATAAGCTCCTATCTTTTTGGTGACATTTGTTAATTAACTGAATGAAACACATATGATTTTGGACAGAATTTATAATTCTAAGAGTCTGTCACCAATATTATACTAATTACTTGTCAAGCTAACCAGATCGACTCTGGGAAACAGACCAGAAGGCCAGATTTATGCTACTAGGTTGGGGGGGTGGGTAGGAAGGAAGAATTAATATTCTGGCCAAAGAAAAATCCTCATCATTCCAGAAGCAAAGACTTCTACTTTGAAAGACAAATGTGTTAGATTGCAATGTTCTGTTCCTAAATGTACTTCCTGAAAGAGAAAGATATACATAATGCCCAGGAGGGTTAAATTAAAACAACAAAGATAAGCACTCTTGGAAAGGTTTCAGAAAATCAACTGGTCCCACACCTCCTGTCTCTAGGTCAATGCACTATGGATTCAAGACCCTGGGAAGAGACCCACTAAGAGCAGGTCTGGGACTTTTGTCAAGTCAACCCCATGAAATGACTTCAGAGACATGAAAATATACTTAAATAGCACTTTTACTCTTCTTTTACTCTCCAAAGTCCTCCAAATCCTACCTTTTATTAAATACCTCAGGTCAATTACTGCTTCTCTCAAAAACGTGCAAGGCTTTAGTACTCCACAACATCTGTAACATTTAATTTGGTAATTAACCAGCAGCTATTTAGTGCTATTTTATTTGATTATTATATAAAACTTTGGTTTCAGAGTTCATGCCTAGGAACTTTTCCTCACCATCCAGGCTATAATATAACAACACAAGGGCAAGGGCCCAAACTTAAATATCTATATGCCTTAGCATGGTGTATTTTGTACACAATAAGGACTTGATAAATCTTTATTGCTATGGTGAGTCACTAAAACAACATTTAAAAAAAAATCAAACTTTATTTAGCTCCTTCTTGGGGCTAGACAGTATGCAAGCACTAGAGATTCTCAGTGAAATAAGTTAGGGTCCCTGCCCTCAAGCTCCCCTTCTAATCATAGTCACAGAAAAGTAAGCAGAGAATAACTGACGTTGATAATCATATACACATGCTTTTGGCTTACATCAAAAACCTGTAATCTTAAAGTTTGCTGAATGATCAAACTCCAAGTTCGAAAGCATCTTGGAGCAGTGACTCTCAAAGTTTAATGTACATAAGAATTATCTGGAGAACCTGTTATAATGCATATTATGATTCTGAAGGTCTGAAGTGGAAGCCAAGATGATACATTGCTAACAGGCTCCCAAGCAATGCAGATGCTACTGGGCCATGAAACAGACAGGTTTACAGAACATCTGACCAATGCACTCCTCTTATAGCTGAATAAAGAGAGACACGGGAAAGTTAAATAACCTGTCCAAGATTACATAATACAGCACAGCGAAGTGCTGAACTGAGTTAAAATTTAGGTGTCCTTAGTTGATGTAGAGGTAATTTAAAAATATGTAAGATTTTCTTTCTGCCTAAACAAGACCAAATCTGTCTAAAACAGAGAACAGACTTCCTAAACAATACTACTGATCGCCATAAACCAGGGACAACATCCACCATCACCAGCCCATCGCTCCCAATTAAAGTGGTTTCAAAGAGTCCACTTTGTTACCCTAACTTACCTGAGCTCTCTGAAGACAGGTCAGAAGGCTGACTAGTGACAGGTGTCTTTTGTTCTTGTTTCTCTAAAACAGAATCCTCATCTGTTGGCACACTGTACTTCGGGCCCACAGCTGTGACTGGTTCTGGATTCAACAGTAAAAACCATGCAAGTTTTAGAGCAGCACGATTTCAGCTACCTTTCCACCTTTCAGAAACCGGAATCTGGAATGGTTTTTGAGGAATGAGGGATGCTCCTCAGAGAGCAGCAGAGAAATGGAGTGGAAGCTTCATGGTGAAGTTAGGAAAGTTTTTGTTTTGTTTTAAATGGGAAAATATTAGATATTCTTATGTTGGTGGAAATGAGCCAATGGAGACGGACAAAGATAGTGAGACGCAAGAAAGGAAAGAATGAGCAAGGCAGCAGCTTAAGTAGGTGAGAGGAGATGGGATGTAGTGCAGCGTGGAGACTGGCCTCACCTAGAGGTAGGTATGGTAGGTATGGTTCACTTACAGTAACAGGAGGGGGGCAGAGACTGTGGCGACAGCCCACAAGTAGACAGATGAGGTAGTAGAGTTTGTGAAGGTTCTCTTTTGTGGCTTAAATCAACAAGACAAACAGATCAGCAGAGACATAAGGAGAAAGGTGTTAGAAACTGGAGAAGGTGAGAAAGAACGGTCTAGGGGAGCAGGAATGTGTGTAGACTTGTAAATAGAGTGTTGAGTGTCTATATTTTATCTGGCACATGTGTCCTTCACCTTTCTGGAGAGTACACGCTGGTAGACAGAAATACTGAGAAAACATAAACCCATACCTGGTGAAACAACAAAAGTTGATGACTGCCCCTCATCCCGGAGAGATTTTAACTGCGCCTCCTCATGTACTTCTTCCTGTGTCTGCGCAATCTCCATGTCCTTAACTGGAACAGCTGCCACCTCCGTTTCTGAGGGTGGTACAACATTCTTGGCTGGACTCACATTGTTGGCCAGGGTGACCTCTGTCCCAGCGGGCAGAGCCATATCCTTAGCCACGGCTGTCTCTATTTCTGGAGGCTGAGGCACATCCTTGATCAGGGTTACTTCTGTTTCTGGGGGCACAGCCACGTTCTTGTCCAGGGCCATCTCTGTTTCTAGAGGTGAAGCCAGGTCCTTGCCCAAGGCCACGTCTATTTCTTGGGGTAGAACTGTATCCTTGCCCAGGGCCATCTCTGTTTCTGGGGATGGAGCCATGTCTTTCACTGGGGCCTTTTCTGTATCTGGATGTGGAGCCATATCCTTGGCTGGGGCCACTTCCGTTTCTGGGAGCAGTGCCTCATCCTTGGTCAAGATAACTTTGGTTTCTGGGGGCAGTGCCATATCCCCAGTCAGGGCCACCTCTTTTTCTGAGGACAGGGCTGCTTCCTTGGCTGAGGCTATTTCTGTGGGTGATACAATGTCCTTAGCTAGTGCCACTTCTATTTCTGAGAGTGATTCCACACCCTTGGCTGGGGTCATCTGTCTATCTGTGGGTGCTACCATGCCCTCATCTGGGGACAAATCCATTTTTATAGGTGGTGTCCTCTCTGTTTCTTTGAATGGTATTGCATCCTTAGCTGGGGCCACCTCTGTTTCTGTGGGCAGTACCATGTCCTCAGCTAAATATATATCTGTTTCTGTGGACAAAACAACATCCTCCACTGGGGCTTCTTCTGTTTCTTTGGGTAGTACCGTGTCCTTGACTAGGACCATATCTGATTCCATGGTCTTAGCCAGTGTCATATCTGATTTGGTAGAAGGTTCCATGTCTTTAGCCAATGCCACCTCTGTTTCTGTGGCTGGTGCCATGTCCTTGGCTGGGGACATCTCTGTTTCTCTAGATGGTGTCATGTCATCAGCCTTCAGTCCCATCATGATTTCCATTGCTTCTGTTGGTGCCCTCTCTTCTGCTCCCATCTTCACTTCTACCTCTTTGGCTGGCTCTAAGGAAAGTAAGTTGGAAATTTAGGACCCATCATCATCTGCTTGTAGGTCTACATTCAAAACTTACTTTCTGAGAGCATAGGAATATCCAGATTTTCATGACCACAACACCCTAAACATAACTAATAAGCTGTCTAACTAATGTATTTGTGCCTACTCTTTGAAAGTCCCAATATTTCAAAGACTAGGATACTGAGAGAATAAACAGTGGAAGAGGAAAAGGAAAGGAAAAACACAGGTTTAAAAATAACACAGGTACACAGTTATTTTAAGAATGGGAACCTGTGGAACATCCAGAAAAAAACCCTCAGAGTTCCAAGTCTGCACTGAACTGAAAAGGGATTTTCTCAGCCCACTAACCCCAAGTGCTATATTTCAACTTCACCTTCATTTCTCCAGCTGTGAAACCAGTAATTGAAGGAATAAAAGCATCTGTGATAGTTCTGAACTTTTTATCTATACTGCTGTCCACCCATGATTTACATGGACTATGATACTGTAACCGATAAGTGACCTTTAAAGAAGAGTTCTAATAATTTACCTGCCATGGGCTGCAGAGGCTGTGTCGTGGCCATCGGGGAAATGAAGGATTCTGGGTGTGGAGAGTTTGGGGCTTCCACAGGCCACCCCTGAGGCACAACATTTGCAGGAGCGAATGTGTCACAGGGAAACAGACCTAATGTTGAAACACAAACGCACAGATTGCTGAAACTGGGTCAACAATGAGGGGAAAAAGGCATCTGATATTTAAAATCAGCTTTATGTAGTACCATAATGACACGTACCTAGACACCAGTGAAAAACAAAGAAAGTTATAAAGAAAAACTGTTAACGATCTTCAGGTTTTGGGCGAATTGTTAACTGGCTGTCACGTCATTAATCAGCATTGTTTGGCAGCCTCCTACAGTGTATTGCAAAAAGTCAAAACACCAGAGACTGAGCGCTAGCACTAGTATCACAACTGAAATAATGTATAATAAAGAGACTGTGAGTCTTGATTTCCTCATCTGTAAAATGAAATCAATACCTCCCTCTGCAACATAACAGGACAGTTTTGTGAAAATGTTTTGTAAATTATTAAGAACTAGGACAGATGTAAAAGGATTATAATTATGCTGTCCATCATCAGACAATAGAGGATTTAATATCACATGGTCCTTACCATCAGGAGTATTACGATTTAGCTAGAGAGGCAAGACAGACATGTATCACGTGCTGTGTAGTATGAGCTAAGTGCGCTAAGAGTTTAAAAACAATTAATGAGGACCAGAATAGCCACAGAAGGCTTCAGAGGAGAAGCAAGAGCAGGAAAAGAAGAGAGAGAGTAGTCAATTTCAAAGATGGAGAATGCTGAGCCAAGAAAAGTATGAAGACTCCAACAAGGCAAGAATGTTTCGGAGACTATGCAATTAGTTGGATTCAACTAGATTCTGCATATCAGAGAGGGAAAACAGGATTAAGACCAACAATGGAAGAAGGATCTGGAAAGCCAGAGAAATTTAGATTTGAAGTTGGGGGGAAGGGTGTCTTAAGGTCTTAATGAAAATGACATGGTGAATACAGAACAGGGCCTTGGTGGCAAAGGCAGCAGGCATGTTTGGAATGAATTTAAAAGGGAGCAGCAGTCCTACCGAGGTGGTCTAGGTGTCTAGTGACAGAGGCTTACACAGGGTGGCCAGGGGGTGTGTGTGGCAGGGGAGCAGTGGGAGCATAAAGGAACAGAAGAAAGATGCTGTAAAATAAAGAAGCTAAGGGTGCCTGAGTGACTCAGTTGGTTGATTTTGGCTCAGGTCATCATCTTACAGTTCATGGGATCAAGCCCCGCATAGGGCTCTGTACTGACAGCACGGAACCTGCCTGGGATTTTCCCTCTCTCACTCTGCCCCTCCCCTGCTTGTGCTCACTCTCTCCAAATGAATGGATAAACTTTAAAAAAAAAAAAAGTGTTTTCTTTTTACATTTAAAAAAAGGAAGAAAGAAAGAAGCAAATGAGACTAAATGGCTCACTAGCTGGTGAGCTGACCAGAGTCAAAGCCACAATCAAAGTATTAAGAGATGACATGGATAGCATCAACGTCAACTCACTTAACATCCTTCCTCCTAGAGATCTTCAGTCCAAACAAAAGCATAAATGCAACATATTATTAACCAGGATCTTAACAAATACAAAATTATAAGCATCACTGGAAGTGGGACTTACTGGTGATAAGGCACCGAAGGAAACCAGAATGTTACCCCAAAATATGCCTCTTTGACATAAAAATTATTTTGAGCTGAAGGCAATGCAGGAAACTGGCCCCCCCATCCCCCCTTTCTGCCTAAAGGTAAGATATAAATTCTCCTCTTCCTGGAGACAGACTCTTGTCAGTCCAGAGAGGGCACCAGAGGGATCGGACAAGCAAACCTTATTCCATTACTTCCCTCCCATGCATTTTCTTCCCACAGCTTGCCACTCCTGGAAGCCTAAAACTGCTTTCCTTTGTCCTGTCCTTTCTCTACCAATTTACTGTTCTTCACCGAAGATGCTATATAAATCAAAATTCTAAGCTACCACTTTTAATTACTTTATCTCGTGTGATGGCTGCTGGGTGTGTTGACAAACTGTCTCCTGTTAGTCTTGTTTGTTAACAAGTCTCAGCAGAATACCTAAGATGGGAAGAAGTTTCCCCTCCCCCACAGTATCCTGGCCACATTCATATTAGAATTGAAACAACAAAACCAGGAATAAGGATACTACTAATTGAGATCTAAGATCTGTTTAATGTTACCATGTACCAGATGCTGTAAGAAGCGCTTCTACAAGATTTTATTTAATTATCACCCCATCTTTAAGGAATGAACTAGTGTTGGCCCCATTTTATAAAGAAATCAAAGTTTAGAGAGGACATAACTTGCCCAAGGCAATTAAGTGGTAAAGGTGCAGACTGGAGACAGAATCTGGCCCTATGATTTCATAGTCAAGATCCCATAAGAGGATATGAGCAGCCGAACTGTGAACTCTCTCCTGTGACGAATCTAGAAAGAGCCTTGTTACAGCCAGAGCCAATAAACATGACTGCCTAGTGGTTAACTTCAAAGGTGATATGTAAAAGGCCACATTAATTGTTTGGAGGTAAGCAATCGATCCAGTTGAAGAAGTCATACATACTGTAACTGTCTTGCAGGGAATCATTTTGTTCTGTAAATGCTGAAGCATTGGCTGTTCCACTGGGGAGATAGAGAAAATCTTCCAGGCCGTCATCATGGTGCATCTTGAAGGGATCTGGAATAAAGAAGGAATTTAAAACTCATTCCCAGTGAGTACAACTAAAATGATTAACATTCCTTACTAGCCTCTGATGAGTATTGATTGACTACATGCGTGTTATCAATATAAGTGAAATAAGTTGAGATAATACGTGACTGAACATGGAGGAGAATCACAAATCCCTCTGTTACAAGTTAAGAGCATGTAGAAATAAGTCAGGCAGAGAAGGACAAATATCATATGTTTGCACGTATAGGAGGATTAGGAGGAACTTAACGGAGGACCATGGGGGAGAAGAAGGGGGTAAATAGTGGGGGAAAGGGGGAGAGGCAAACCATGAGAGACTCTTGAATGCTGACAAAAACTGAGGACTGATGGATGTGCGGGGGGAGAGGGGGAGATGGGCACGGAGAGGGTCACTTGTGGAGATGAGCACTGGGTATTATATGGAAACCAACTTGACAATAAACTATTTGTAAAAAAAAAAAAAAAAAAAAAACAAGTTAAGAGCATGTAATCTCATATTCTCTATGATTTGATTATCTGAATCAACCAGCAAATAACAAACTAAAAGCACAACAAATGGTCACTTCTGTAACATGCTAAGGGGTGAAATTACAGATATAATTAAACTTTCAATATGTATTTAGACATTCACTTTAGGGTATTAAGGGGAAAAAAAAAGGAAGCCAGATAAGTAAATAAGACATTTCCACCTCATGTGGACATCATGAAGAAAACTACTTTTCAAAACCTGTCTGAGACAAGGGGAACAGCTGGCATCTTAAGAAGAGAAATAAGCTCCAAAACCAGGAGTTGCCATAAATAAAGTCACTCAAAACATCAGGAAAATTCTGTGCCTTATCAGATGAAAAAAAGAACAAAGCCAGTCGGGCTGAGCAAGAATTTGGTTCTAAGAAGTCCATCACAAAATTTAGCACACATCTGAATCACCCCTGCAAGCTTAAAGAAACACTGATTGCTGGGCCCTAAGAATCTGCATTTCTTCTTCTTCTTCTTTTTGTTTTTTATTTACTGTTTTATTTATTTCTGAGAGAGAGAGAGAGAGAGAGCGCGCGAGCGCACGAGCAGGGGAGAGTCAGAGAGAGGGAGATTTAGAATCTGACTGAGCCACCCAGGCGCCCCATTCCTTGATAGACTCTTAAGGTGCTTCAATTGTAGAGGCAGCTGTAAAAACCTAGGCCTTGGGAGAATGTTCATTCCTGTAGCTCTGAGGCAGCTGAACCACCCTCTTACAGTAAAGGATGTCAGGAGCAGGGGAGACCATGGCACTGGGAAGTATGAACAAGCAGAAAGCAAACTGAGAAACTGCTGGACATAGAAGGGGTCCCAGTGCTGCTTCTCCAGAAGAGCGGGGGGAGCTGGGATATGACAGAGATTCTAACCATTCACTTTTCCCAGGATCACTTGGTTTGAGATGACTACTGCTTGCTCTGTTCCTCATGCTTCCACTGAAGGAAAACAGAAAGTTTAAACCATCAAGAGAGTAACTGCTGTGTGGTTTGCACATTAGAATGGGAGACTGCTAACCTTGCATGTAAAAATGAATGGTTTCTACAAAGTTCTGTCATTTTTTTATTACCTTTTTACTGGGTGCCTCTAATACGGCAGACTTTTGTGTGCTCTAAAAATCCAGAGATGTATAAGGTCAGGGTTGAGAACATTTAGCAGAGGGACATTTTAGTTCAAGTCAAGGAGGATCTTTCCTTGATAAATATTTAAGCTGAAAACTAAAGAACTAAATAAGCGGTTAGAGGGAGGAATACCTTTTCTCTATTTGCATTCCCTCCCTCAGTGATCTCATCGAATCTCAGAATTTAAAATTCTGTGTAGAAATTAATGACACTCAAATTTGTACCTCGAGCCATCTAGACATCACCCCTTATTTCTTGACTTTCATATCAAATTGCCAACTCTTAATGTATAAAATAAAGCCAAAAAATGTAGTATGTTTCTGAAACCACCCCTCATACAATCTTCTCATCTCTAATGGCATTCTATCATTTCAGTCAAAAACATTGGAGGCATCCTTGACTTCTTTCTTACAAATTTGATTCATAAGAAAATCCAACTGGCCTGACCTTTGACATGTTCCCCAGAACCTATTTTTTTCCCTACCTCCACTGATTAGAGTGTCTGACAGGTTGTAGTCAAGGCATTGGCCAAGGCTGTGATCATCAGGAGACTTGATCGGGGCTGGAGAACCTGCCTATACAATGACTTACTCACAAGGATATTGACTAGAAGCCTCGGTTCCTCCCCTTTGTGGGCCTCTCCATAGCAGCTGGCTATTCCCAGTATAGTAAACCTAGAACGACCAAGATGGAAGCCACAGTGTCCTTTATAACCTAATCATAGAAATGATATACCATTATTTCTGCCATCTATTCTACTGGTCACACAGATCAAGCCTAGTACAAAGGGAAGTTGCTACTTAAAAGTGTGAATACCAGGAGATGGGGATCATTGGAACCATCACTGGGGGTTAACTACCACACTTTCAGGACATTATACTTTTTTGGGTTTTCCTCAACATCAAAACTGGACATTTTGTTGAAGTTCCCCTTGCTGGTTCCTCTTCTTCCTGACTTGAATTAGTAATTAAAAACTACTCACAAGAAAATCCCTGGCTAAGATGGCTTCACTGTTGAATTCAACCAAACATTTAATGAAAAATTAAAACCAATTCTTCATAAACTCTTCCAAAGATAAAACTGAAGAGGCGAACACTTCCTAACTTGCTCTATGGTTTGTATTACCATAGAATGGTATTACCCTGATATTACTCTGATACTAAAACTAGACAAAGACATCAGAATGAAACTACAGATCAATATCTCTTCTATATATGGATGCTAAGATGTTTGATAGGTTTATGAATATGCCAGCAAATAAGATGAATTATACACTGTGATCAAATGGGATTAATCCCAGGAATGCAAGATTAGTTTAACATTCCATGGAAAGAGCCTAAGTGTCCATCAACTGATGAGTAGATCAAGAAGATGTGGTTTATCTATATTATGGAATACTTCATGGCAATGAGATATATTGAAATCTGGCCATGTGTAGCAACATGGATGGACCTTGAGGGTGTTATGCTGAGCGAAATAAGTCAGGCAGAGAAGGACAAATACCATGTTTGCACATATAGGATGATTAGGAGGAACTTAACAGAGGACCATGGAGGAGAAGAAGGGGAGAAAGAGTAGGGGAGAGGGAGAGAGGCAAACCATGAGAGACTCTTGAATGCTGAGAACAAACTGAGGACTGATGGGTGTGGGAGGGAAGGGGGGAGATGGGCATGGAGGATGGCACTTGTGGGGATGAGCACTGGATGTTATATGGAAACCAACTTGACAATAAACTATTTGTAAAAAAAAAGATTAGTTTAACATTTAAAAACCAATTAATATAATACATACATAGAATAAAAAATGAAATTACATGGGGGCACCTGGATAGCTCACTCAGGTTCAGCATCTGAATCTTGGTTTCAGCTCAGGTCATGATCTCAGTTCGTGGGATTGAGCCCCATGCTGGGCAATGCACTGACAGCACAGAGCCTGCTTGAGATTCTCTTTCTCCCTCCCTCCCTCTCTCTCTTTCTCTCTGTCCCTCCCCTGCTTACTCTTTCTGTCTCAAAAAAATAAATTTAAGATAATAATAAACTCATTTCAATAGGTGTAGAAAAATCACTTGACAAAACCCAACACCCTTTTGTGATAAATCAAACACTTGAGAAATTAGAAATAGAAGGCATTTTCCTTAATCTAATAAATGGCATCTATAAAACGCCCACCTCTGACACCATACTTAATGGCAAAAGACTAGATGCTTTCCTTCTAAGACCAGTAGCAAGGATGTCTGCTCTTACCACTTCTAGTTATCATGTACTAAAGATTCTAGCCAGGACAATTAAGCCAAAAAAAGAAATAAAAGCCATCCAGACTGGAAATGAGGAACTAAAACTGTATTTGTAAGTGACATGATCTTACATATGGAAAATCCTAAGGAATCCACCAAAAATCTACTAGAACTAATGAGTTCAGCAAGGCTGGAAAATACAAGATCAATATACAAAAATCACTTGTGTATCTATATCCTTCCAATGAACAATCTGAAAATGAAATTAAGAAAATTCCACTAATAGCATCAAAAAGAATAAAATATTAGGAAAAATTTTATGAAAGAAGTATAAAATTTATACTCTACTACAAAATATTGGTGAAAGGAGTGAGATATAAATAAATGGAAAAACATTCTATGTTTATGGATTTGAAGAGAGTATCATTAAGAAGGCAAAAGTCCTCAATTTGATCTACAGATTCAATGTAATTCCTATCAGAATCCCAGCTGATTTCTTTATAGAAATTGACAAGCTGATTCTAAAATTCATATGAAATTGCAAGGACCCAGAATAGCCAAAATAATCATCAGAAATAAAGTAGGAAAATCTACACTTCCCAACTGCAAAACTTACCATAAAGCAACAGTAATCATGACAGCATAGTACTGGCTTAAGAACAGACATAAAGATCAATAGAATAGAATTAAGAGTTGATAAAAGCATGTATCTATGGTTAAGAGATGTCAACAAGAATACCAAGGGCATTCAATGGGGAAAGAATAGTCTTTTCAAAAACTGGAAATGGGACAACTGGATATCCACATGCAAAATAATGAATTTGGACCTCTACCTCTCACTATATACAAAATCAATTTACAGTGGACCAAAGGCCTTAATACAAGAGCTAAAAATATAAAAATCTAGAGGAAAACATAAGGATAAATGTTCATGACCTCAGATTTGGCAATGGGTTCCTAGGTATGACACCAAAGTATGAGCAACAAAAGAAAAACTAGATAAATTGGACTTCTTCAAAATCAAAAATTTTTATGCATCAAAGGACACAACAAAAATACAAACCAATTAAAAATGGGACGGGGCGCCTGGGTGGCTCATCTGGTTAAGCATCTGACTTTGGCTCAGGTCATGATCTCATGGCTTTTGAGTTTGAGCCCCACATAGGGCTCTGTGCTGACAGCTCAGAGTCTAGAGCCTGCTTTGGATTCTGCGTCTCCCTCTTTCTGCCCCTTGCCTGATTGTGCTCTCTTTCTCTCTCTCAAAAATAAACTTGAAAAAAATTTTTTTAATAGGACAAAGGATTTCTGTAAGGAAGACATACAAATAGCCAATAAACACATGAAAAGTTAAAAAGATAACATCAGCCAATACAGAAATGCAAATAAAAATCATAGTAAGATACCATTTCATACCAACTAGGTTAGCTATGATTTTTGAAAAAGGAAAACAAGCATTTTTAAGGATGTGGAGGAATTATAAGCCTAATCCACTACTGGTGGGAATATTAAATGGTACAGGTGCTTTGGAAAACAGTTGGGCAAATTCCTCAAATAAATAAACACTAAGTTATCATATGATCAGCAATTTCAATCTAGGTATACCCTCTCAAGAGAAATGTAAGTATATGTCTACTACACAAAAACCTTTTTAAAACAGCATTACAGACAACAGTAAAGAAAAAAGAAAGCAAACACCCTATATGTTTATCAATTGATGAAGAGATAAACAAAATATAGTATATCCACACAATGCAGTATTATGAGGCCCTCTGAAAGAATGAAGTACTGATCCATGCCACAAAACACATGATCCTTGAACACTTGTTAAGTGAAAAAGCTAGTCACAAAAGACCATATATGATTGCATTTCCACAAAATGTCCAGAATAGATAAATTTAGAGAGACAGAAAGAGATAAGTGGTTGCTTAGGGCTGGAATGGATAAGGAGATAGGGAAGCGATATTTAAAGAATACAGGGTTTCTTTTTGAGATAATACTAAAAATCCACTGAACTGTACATTTTAAATGGATGAATTGTATGGTAGGTATGTGAATTATATCTCAAGAAAGCTGTTTGTAAAAATTACCATGTATCTAGGATAGCCAGTAATTGGAAAATAGCATAGAACATCAAGTACTAGATCATTTGGAACCAGTCATAGTGCCTTATGAATTAGATGGCAAAAAAGAAGCCATATCTAAGTGCAAACTAGAAAAGAGCTCTCAACCTGGCATGGTGGCCCTGATGCTACTATTCTGAGGTCCTTCTGCAATCCATTCTTGCCACCATTTCCAGCTCTAGACAACTACACATAAGCTTTCTGTCTCTACAGATTAATTTGATTTTATAGAAATGAAGTATGAGGGGCGCCTGGGTGGCTCAGTCCATTAAGTGTCTGACTCTTGATTTTGGCTCAGGTCATTACCTCATGGTCTGTGAGTTCTAGCACCACTGGGTTCTGCACTGACAGCGTGGAGCCTGCTTGAGATTCCCTCTCCCCTCCCCCTCTCTGTCCCTCCCCTGCTCATGTGCTCCCTCTCCTACTCAAAATAAATAAATAAACTTAAAAAAAACAAAAAAACAAATGGGGTATGAGTCCTAGTTTTCCCCTTTGTCAAATGAGGATCACATATACTTGGCAGAGTTAAGTAAGAAACACAGAAAATACATATGGAAAGGCTCTAGCACTATATCTGGCACAACACAGATATTCACCAAACAATGCTATTATTACTGTAGTAATTCCTTCTGGAAGAATTGGGTTCTAAGCTACTACTGACCATCTGAATATGAATGTCAGTTAAGTTACTCAGAACAGGCTTTGAAAGAGAGACGTCTAGAGGGATGTGTGCCTCAGAAGAATGGATCAAGAGGAGAAAGCGTCAACTAAATTTTCAGGGTAAATGAGTACACTTTGGCTGTGCCTCACAAGCTATATTTAGGCTAAAGAGTTTTCTGTGAGCAATGGCTTTACATTATTCATGTTTATGTCACTGCTCACACTGAGCAGCCACAGGCAAGCCTGCACTTACCGGCCTGGGGAGGATTCACCAGCTGATCAGGTTCGAAGCAGAAGTTTGTATTTTCTGGCCAGTTCTGGATGTTCTGATATCCTTGGAAGGTCATTTTCTCGTCAAGGAATTGAGTTGGAGACCCTTCAAACAGAAACATGAATCAAAAGTTATAAAGGTACTACTGTCTTCCCCTCTACTAGAACTGAGTTTCTATAAGCATTATAGCTAGTACAACAGGACAAAATCATACCTTGCTAGTGCATTTGAAGACAATTTTTTTTCCTATTATTAAAACAGATAATTAAGGTGCTGGAAGCATAGGTTGTTATATGAGGTTAAAAACGCCATAGGATGACTTCTGGTTATGATACATGAAAGGTTAGTGATTTTCATCCACAAAAGAACAAGTATAAAATTGGGACAAAACTAGGATGCCTCTCTCTCTCTCAAAATAAACTTTAAAAAACAATTACTTGATTTCAAGTTACTTTTACAAATGTATAATAACCAAGTCAGTGTGGTACAGACTACACATTAGATTAATGGAGTGCAACAGAATTCAGAAAGAAACCCAAGTAAGTTATGGACGACTATTTTTTAACAGAGATGCTAAAGTAATTCAACAGGGAAAGGATAATTTTTTCAGCCAATGACAGTTGGTCACTTACCTCACCCCATATGCAAAATCTAACTCCAAATAGAGTAAAACCTAAATGTAAACATGTAAAACTAAAATGTGTAGAAGAAAACATAGGAGAAAAATCTCTGTGACCCTGGATTAGGCAAAGATTTCTAAACATGTCATCAGAGGCTGGATCCAATTTCCTAATTTCCATTAGGAAAAAAACTAATGGACATCATGGAAATTTAAAATTTTGCTTTTCAAGGGTGGCTGGGTGGCTCAGTCGGTTAAGCATCTGACTTCAGCTCAGGTCATGATCTCGCGGTCCAAGAGTTTGGACCCCACATCAGGCTCTGTGCCGACAGCTCAGAGGCAGGAGCCTGCTTCAGATTCTGTGACTCCCTCTCTTCTCTGCCTCTCCCCTGCTCACACTCTCTCTCTCTCTCTCTCAAAAATAAGTAAACATTAAGAATAATGTTTAAACTTCTGCTTTTCAAAGATACCATTAAGAAAATAAAAAGAGAAGCCACAGACTGTGAAAATATTTGTAAATGATGAACCTGATAAAGGACCTGTATGCAGAAGAGATCAAAAATCTCTTACAACATAATCTACATTAGCTAAGTTTTAATAAGAGAGAAACAAGTTCATTTATCACTTTAAAAACTTAATATATTTATAAGTAACTTAAATATTGGTACATACTATGTATTCAAAATTGTGTTTAGCATTTAATATGGGGGAAAAAGCTACTTCACTCTTTTTGCTTAGTTTTGTTTATACTTGCAATGAACAATGTATAAATTTTTTCTTTTATTTCCCTTACACTTTGTTTGCTCTGATCATATTTATTAAAATGTTATTCTTTGTAAAGTCTAATGATAAAAAATTAAGACTTGGGAAAAAATCTCTTATACACAGTTATAAGACAAGTAACTCAATTTTAAATGGGAAAAAGATTTCAACAGACATTTTCATCAAAGAAAATACGCAAATGGATAATTTGCACATGAGAAGAAGCTCATCATCATTAGTCAATAGGGAAATGCAAATTGCAGTCACTATGAGATGCCACTACACTACAGAACCGCTAAATCAAAAAGACTGATGATACCAGGAATTTTGTGAGGATATAGAGAAAAAGGAAGCTTCTTTCATTCCTGTAGGGAATGTTAAATTCTTTAAATAAATACTTTAGAAAATGGTCTGGGGGTGCCTGGGTGGCTCAGTCACTTGGGCATCTGACTTTGGCTCAGGTCATGATCTTGCTGTTAGAAGTTCAAGCCCCACCTCAGGCTCTGTGTTGACTGCTAGGAGCCTGGAGCTTGTTTTGGATTCTGTGCCTCCTGCTCTCTCTGCCCCTTCCCTGCTCACACTCTGTCTCTCAGAAATGAATAAACATTTTAAAAAATTGTTTTTTTTTTTTTAAAGAAAATAGTCTGATGGTTTCCTTTTCTTTTTATTAACAGCTTAATTGAGATATAAATTTGCCCTTAAAAATTTTTTTAAGGTTTATTTATTTTGAGAGAGATAGAGAGCATGAGCGGGGTTGGTCAGAGAGAGAGAGAGAGAGAGAGAGAGAGAGAGAATCCCAAGCAGGCTCCACACTATCTGCACAGAGCCCAACACAGGGCTTGAACTCACAAACTGTGAGATCATGACCTGAGCAGAAGTCAAGAGTCGGACGCTTACCTAAGTCACCCAGGCACCACTGAATTTACCCTGTAGAATCCAGTGGGTTCTACTATATTCACTGAGTTATACAACTACCACCACTAACTTAACATTTTTATTACTCCAAAATCTTATACCCATTTCCCTTTCCCACTTTCCCCCTGCCCCTAGCAATCATTAATCTACTTTCTGTTTCTGTGGATTTGCCTCTTCTTGATACATCATATAAATGTAATCTTACAACATGCAGCCTTTTGTGACTGGCTTATTTCACTTAGCACACTGTTTCCAAGGTTCATCTGTGTTGTGGAATGTTTCAGAACTTCACAGCTTTGTACGGCCAAATAATACTCCATTGTATGAATATACTGTAGTTTACCTATTCATCTGTTGACATTTGATTGTTTCCATTTTTTTGGCTATTATAAATAATGCTATGAACGTTTAGGTACAGGTTTTTGTGCGGGCTATGCTTTCAATTCTACAGAATTTCTGGGTTATACAGTAACTCTTATGCTAATTATGCATATGCAAATCTCTCTAAAAAATAAACATTAAGAAAAAGAAATGTCTTTTCAAACCATTTACCCACTTTTTAATGGAGTTATTTGAGTGTTTGAATTATTATTGAGATGCAAGATTCAATTTCTTAAGTTCAAGCATAGTTAACATGCAGTGTTATATTAGCTTCAGGTGTACAATACAATGATTAAACAATTCCATACATTACTCGGTGCTCATCACAGTAAGTGTACTTTTAATCACCCTCCCCTATTTCACCCATCGCCTTACCCACCTTTCTGTTCTCTGTATTTAAGAGTGTGCTTCTTGTTTCTTTTTTTCCTTTGTTGTTTCCTAAATTCCACATATGAGTGAAATCATATTGTATTTCTCTTTCTCTGATTTATTACATTTAGCATTCTACCCTTGAGATCCAGCCAAGATTTATTTTCTTGAGGATGTCCCTTAGCACAAAAAATGTTTAATTTTGATGAAGTCCAATTTTTCTTTTTGAAGATTTTAAGTAATCTCTACACCCAACGTAGGACCTGAACTTACAACACCAAGATCAAGAGTCACATGCTCCTCTGACTGAGCCAGCCAAGTGCCTGGACAAAGTCCAATTTATCTGCTTTTCTTTTGCCACTTGTACTTTGGAGCCCTAAGTACTAATCCAAGGTCATAAAGATCTATGCATAGGTTTTCTTGTAGGAGAGTTATAGTTTTACTTCTCATTTTTAGGTCTCCGATCCACTTTGAGTTATTTTTATGTGATGTCAGAGGTTAGGGGTCCCAACTTCATTCTTCTGCACACAGATATCCAGTTTTCCTGGCTCCATTTGTTGAAAAGACTATAGCAGTCCCCCCTTATTGGTGGAGGATATGCTCCAAGAGCCCCCCCCACCAAGTATCTCCAGAAACTGCAGTCTGACCCATATATATATATATATATATATATATATATATATATATATATATAAATATAAAAAATATATACATACACATACACTATGTTTTTTCCTATTCAGACATACCTATGATAAGGTTTAATTTATAAACTGGGCACACTAAAAGATTAACAACAATAATAATGAAATAGAATAATTGTAGCAATATAGTATAAACAAAGTTATAGGAATGTGGTGTCTCTACGAAAATATTTTGGTGTACTATATACACCCTTCCTGTGATGATATCAGATGACAAAATGCCCATGTGATGAGATGAAATAAGGTGAATGATGTAGGCACTGTGACGTAGTGTTAGGCTACTGCTCACCTGATCTGTCAGGAGGACCATCTGCTTCCATAGAGCTGCTAAACCATGGGTTACTGAAACCATGGAAAGCAAAACCACGGATAATGGGGTACAAATGTGATCTTGCCCCCTGATTTATTTAGCATCCTTGTTGGAAAATGTAAGAATTTATTTCTAGACTTTGACAGTTTCTTAAAATGTTAGACACACACTTAACACATGACCCAGCACTTTCCATTCTGGGTATCTACCCAAGAGAAATGAAAACACATATCTATAAAAAAACTAATTTATTAATGTTGACACCTGCATTATTCATAATAGCTAAAAATCAGAAACCCGATGTTCATCAACTGGTGAATAGAGAAACAAAATATGGTGCATATATACAATGGAATATTATGTGGCTATATAAATGGGAATGATTTAATGATACATACTACAATATGGATGAGTCTTAAAAGCATTGTGATCTGTGAGAAAAAGCAAGACACAGAGGCTATATATTTTATGATTCTGTTTACATGAATCTTCTACAAAAGGTACAACTATAAAGGCAGGAAGTAAAATAGTGGTTGCCTAGACTGTATGTTAGAATGGGAATTGAGTGGGGCGCCTGGGTGGCTCAGTCGGTTGGGTGTCCGACTTCGGCTCAGGTCATGATCTCACTGTTCATGGGTTCGAGCCCCGTGTCAGGCTCTGTGCTGACAGCCAGCTCAGAGCCTGGAGGCTGTTTCAGATTCTGTGTCTCCCTCTCTCTCTGACCCTCCCCTGCTCATGCTGTCTCTCTCTCTCTCTCAGAAATAAATAAAACATTAAAAAAAAAATTAAAAAAAAAAAAGAATGGGAATTGAGCATAAACGGGCCCAAGGGAGTAACAAGGGTGATAAAAATATTCTAAAAATGGATTAGGGTAACTTTAATATATACTTCCTTGTTAGGGGTATGAACTTTTGTTGAGATGGGCATAAAAGTCAATGAGAAGGAAGTTTTGAAAGGCTGAGTAGCCACAGTACCAAAGTTTAAAGTTTCCCTACTGTCTTGCTTCTGGAAAACAAACTAGGACCTAAGGAAGACATGGCTGCAA